TAGCCTTACCAAGCTAAATGCGAAAACTCTGAATCAACAGAGCAAGCAACAACCTCACAGTTAATGGCACGAAACTCCTCGACCCGGTCACTGAAAGCAATGATCTCTGTTGGACAAACAAATGTGCTAGAAAACAGGAAAAAAATAAAAAATTAAAGAGTTATCACTTGTGCAAAATTTTTACTGAGATCTTGCTGAGATTGGCGAGATCTTGTCAATCTGAGATTGCAGAGATCTCACCATGATGTTAGTGGGTTTCTCAAATCTTAGCGAGATCGCAGCAAGATTTTGTACATCTCACCGAGATTGCCGAGACCTCGCAGTGATGTTTGAGTCTTTCTAAATCTTGGTAAGATCTTGCTGAGATTTTGAAAGACACAGACATCTTACCGAGATTGCCTACATCTCACCAAGATCTCACCAAAACTGGGAACATCTTGCCGAGATCTCACCAAGATCTCGGTGATCTCTCCAGCCAAAAACTCATCGAGATTCTCTTCGAGATCTCGATCAAAATTTTGCAGGGGATGAAGTTGTTTCACCAAGTGATATCAGAAAGAACGAGGTATAAAGCTTTGCATCCATAATGGCGGTTGACATGAAACTTTGAATTTAAGTCAAGTAAGTAGTTGCAAAATGTTACAATTTGTGACATCTTGCACGAATCAAAATAAAAATGTAAACAAACTCTCAAGAGAGCTATGCAGCTTCACTTGGTGCAATTATACAAAACTGACATTTTTCACACAGAGATCCATTCAATTATTTGAGATCTAATTTTCTGAAATCACATTTTGCATGGCTAGCACACATAAATGGCATGGTCGCAATCAGTTTGTTGCACTTATCAGTAATATATCATTAATTAACTTATGCTAATTAAACCAGAGTTTTAAGAACACCATCATAAATCAAAGATAAGGATTTCCATAAAGTGAAGGTACAGCTGGAGTATCCTATAAAAAATAAACATCAAACCTTTACGCAGCTGCGGACAATGGAGGAAGTGTTTACTTAATAACTGTCCACCTTTGGCAAGAGAAAATCCAACTGTCTACATTTACATTCTTTTGTATATATTCCAGAAGATATTCAAAAGAAATTCTATCTGATCCATTACGGAAGAAATAAGCAGGTTATTTGTCCGCACCTTAGGGTATGTCATTTATTCACCAGGGAATAAATTTTATATTCAACTTTCCCTTGAAATAATCACATCCCAAGACAGTTAGGAAATGGATGTACTGTTTTCAAATATTAACCATTGTTTTTCCTTTTACGAGATTTGAAAGGGTTAATTAGACAAAGTTTTGTCGTTCTCGCCAAGATAGAACATCAAGAAATTAAATACTTCCGTTCATTAGTTGAACTTTCGCTTTAGAAATACATCAAGCACAAGCCCTTATCAAGCACATATCCCCCCAAAAATTTTTGACAGAGTTTGTCTCGTAACATCCTACGATTGCGATATTAACTTACAAGTTCTAGCCTCAAATTCGGAGACAAATAATTTAGGTAAATTACACTTTCACTTCGCCCACGCGAAACTGCAATGGGCATTAATATACTGCTAACAAAGGTGAAAGGAAACAATTAGGAAGTTAACAGCGCAAACCGAACAGCGTTTTCTCAATTGTTAGACATTAATATATGTCGCTGCTAAGTTTCCCCAATGATAAAATTGTAACGTAGCAAAAAATAAAAATCCTACCAGTACGGTTGTCTCAGGCCCAGAATTTATGTCGACAAAGTGTACTTTAGGCTAGAATAACTGACGTTGAATTCTGTCGGTCTACTGGTAACCGAGCCACGCTCAATATCCGACATAAATATTTACAACTCTTTGAAAAGACAAGCTAGAGAATACAATTTATCGTCCAGGTGATTTTCTGTTTTAATAAACACGAACTGAAATGGCGATCAAATGTTCCGAGAATTAAAAAAAAAGCACACGCAAACTTGAATGTAGCAAAGCTGAGTGTAAGTTACATAATAAAAAGTTCACCCTGATGCGAAAGAGTCGTTGGAAACGAATTAAATCGATAAAAATCGAGGCCATGAAATGTAGTGAACACTCCTTCGTTGCAAGTACAGTGAAAATTTCTTATCTTCTTGACACTCCTACAAGAAGGGGGCAGGCAATAACTAGGAAGCTTACTGCCTCTAACATTTTGAATGTCGAATGTCAAAATATTACGCTATAAGAAAATCCAGAATATTAAGTGTTATTTTCTTGAATTTTCAGATAGGTTAGTGAAACTAATACATAACAAAGGCTACTTTTCAGAGTAACAAGAAATTAAACGGTTTGCGTTAGAACATAATTAAATTCTCTTCCCTGGTTTGCCAAATTCTACAAATGGCTGATAATGTGTCACATATGTCTACTTACAAATCAAGGGGATAGAAGAACAGAACCAGATATTTTCCTGCAAATAAAAAGAATGGAGTTAAAATAATCTACCATATTGCACTGCAATGCATGTACATAACCTAAAAATACTCTATTTCATCATACCTTTGTAGTCCGACAATTTGAGATCCATGAACTCGCCATACTTGTTCACAGCAGTGCCAGAAAATGGAGGTGCTGGTTTCTGAATAAACGCTTTGCTCATGATCGTGCTGCAAACAGAAAGAAAACAGGTCTCACAAAGCTAACAAAAAGAGATTTAGTTCACCAGATATTTTGTTGACATTACCCGCTCACGAAGGAAATGACACAGGTTTCTCCAGCTACACCGAGCGCGAATGCACGACTGTCCGGTGTCCACGTGAAAAATTTATTTCGAGCAAACTGGAACTTAGTTTCCCCCAGGCCTTGCGCATGAAAACGTAGCTACGACGCATCCATACGCGTGAAAGCGCAAAACAGGAAATAAGGATTTTTTTAACGATTTCTTACTTCCTGTTAGGTAAAAAAAAAAAGCGATTACTTCACAGACACATAGAAGAGAAAAAAAATCGATTTATGAGTCCCCAACTTGTTGAAGTAGCCTCGATTTTCCAGACAATTCCCCAGGGAACAGTAACTGAAATAAACTGGTGACAGGGAGTTCAATATTACAATGAAAACCTAAGGCTATATTTCTCTTCTTCAGCTCTACGGAAAGACGTAAGCTTTCAACCAATCTTTATAAACTCTGATCACTTTGCCCTCAGGTGTTAAATCCTAACAGGATATTACAACAGGAACCTTTCATTGATATTGCATTCAGCGTCTATGAGAAGTTTAAATTCATCTCACTTTTTTGTTATTTTTATCACTATCAAATAATGAGATCAATCCGAGCCATTTAAGTGGCTCACTATACAGTTATCAGCTCATTAATATTACGCCCCTTCATATTATGAATGGGATTATTTGGGATGAAAACTTGACTCCCTGAAAAAGTCAACTGGAAATCAAGTCTTTTCTGAGAACCAAGCCACTGAACAGTGTCCATTTTTTGCAAGCCAAGTAAAAGGAAACAAAAGCAATACTATATTGACATAGCTCCATTGAGCATGTTAATTTTACACCTTTGAGTGAAAGTTTTCACGCTTATACATATTTGTATCATAATACACTTACAGTCTAGGGAAGGAAATGAGCTGCCAAATCATTTGCTAAGAGAAAGGTGCATCAATGCATAACAAAAGGTTGCCAAGATTTATTAAAATTTGTTGACAACATTTCTGTCATAAATTACATAACCAGTCGATCACAGTTATGACTAACTGACAGAATCAATTATAATAATTCCAGCCAACTTTTTCAAGTCAGGTGAGATTTTCATCACAAGAGTGCCAGTATTTTCAAAGATGAACCCAACATATACAAAGACATNGGGGGGGGGGGGGGGAATGCCCCCAGACCCCCTAGGAAGGTGATGCCCGAGGAGTCACAACCTACAGCTAAGCCATCGAAAATCTCAGTCTTTGGCAACAAATTAACTTGTGAGCTCTGCTAATAAGCTGAAAGATTTGATTTACTGTAATATCCAGCTAATTACTCATGGGCATTACAGTCTTAACTAACATAATCAAGTTCTAACCCTCTCTCTCTCATGCAATGCAGTAGGCTGTGTGTCAGGGAGCAGGTCAGAACTAGACTGTAACTAACACAACTGACACAGATTAAAAAAAATAAGTAACCTTGAACCATTTAAATAATGGTATGATTCTCCAGTTTTCAAGGGAGAAGTAATGGGGATGGAGTTATACTTAGACAGACATATCTTTGGAATTCGACTGGGAAATGTTTGAAACATTTTCTAAATCTTTAAAAATCGTCTGACAGAAGTCTTTGGATAATTTTACATTTGGTTCGTCTTTGGAAGTCCTGACAATATCACACCTGTGATGGAAGCTTGGTGAAAAGTTGGCAGTAATATAAATTGTGTGACAATCAGGGTCAACTTCTACCCATTTAACATTTTATCTACTTTTGTAGAGCAATGGGTACGCTACCAATGCTATATTCTGCGTGGCTTCCATGCATATAATTATCATTGAAAATAATCCATAATTCTATGACCACCCATGCTCTAAAATATTCCAGAAGCAAGGGTATGCTAACTTTTTATTTCAGAAGGGCGTTATCTAAATTATGTTACCAAAATGAGAGCTGATATGATTTAGCAAATGAGATCAACTTCTAAAATTGCAAATTTACATCTAATTTCCATTTTCTTTCAGTGAAATTAATAAACGAGAATTTACTAAGCACTGTAAATTATTTGTTGTAGCACTTCTTGTATTTTGTAGTACCTGTTCTGCATTTAAGCTTAAGCTTAATAACAGTAAAAGCGAAAAGTCCTGTTCTCGTGTTTTATTCAGAGGAAGTTACGATAATTAAAAACGTGCAAATAATATTTATAAGCACTGTTGCCTGAGTGGCGTCTTCTGAAGGAAATGAGTCATGGTCGATTTGTTTGGTGGCTAGACGTGAAAAACAGCAATTTTAGCAGAGTCATATCACTAACAGTTATTTCTGTGAACAAAACAAACTTCAATACGAGTAAATATGCCACTTAATAGAAAAGCTATCCTAGAGGTACGCCTATTGTTTCCGTTATCTGATTGTTTGAAGAAGAGAAACCTGAATTTGCAGATAATGCACTTAGCAAGTAAATACAATATTATTGCCTTACTATCAGAACTGTACCCGATCTCGAAAACCTCTCATTTTCATAGAGAAAACTGCCGTCATTGACGAGTCACTTACCTTGACAAGGAAAATGTTCTGCGAGAGACCTCGGATAGAGGTGCCAAGTTACGAGCTTGATGTGGATTGATTTGGCGGCAGAAGGTAGGGAAAATTTTAGGAGCGATCCTTCGTGTTATGAGCGAGAATCCTGCAGCAGACATCTGGAAGAGCACAAGTAACAACAACAAACTATAAACGTTGTGAAATCAGCCGCTCAATTTGGGATTGTCTGGGATTTATTCGAAATACTGAGCCCGCATTAGGTCAGCGTGTGTCTAAATGTTTGGAATGGACTGCTGGACTTCGCCACACCGGAATTATAGACTGGGGGTGGTGTAGTAACGGACTTGTTTTTATCTACAAATATTGTTGTTTTTGTCCGAAAATATTTCGTAAGTTTTATAACAAATAGACTACGAGTAGTCCCTCTTTCGCTTAGTCCGTCGTGCGTGACGCGAAAGAAAACCGCGAGAAAAAAAATGGCCGCGCGAAATCCTGGAGGCGAGGGGCGCGCGAAAGGAGGGACTACCGCCTAAGCCCAAGAGTTTGAATTATGCGTTGCTCTCACAACGCAAAAATATGATTGGGTTATGTTAAGAGCGTTGACAACGTGTTGTCAACATTCGAGATACCTGTGACGTCTTCCAGGAATGTTTTGGAACCGGAGCAAATCGAAGCGGTACCAGAGCAAATCGAAGCGTTGGAATCGCGTTTCGCAAGCCGTGATGTTCTTACGAATCTGCCAACAGGCTTTGGAAAGATTT